GTCACGTGACATGAAAACAAGATGGTGACGAAAATAGGCGTAGAAGAGGCAGGTCAAGAAACGATTAATGGAAACGCGCAGAAGAAAAATGACCCGACCGTCATTGAAATGAAGGGCAGTGAAGGGTGAGTTGCTGCTGTTTTGTTGCATTTTTCTTTGGTTGCATTTATGCGTGAATATTATTTTTCTATTTCTACGTATCTTGTATCTTGAGATGTGTTGTATTGGTTTTTGTTGGTGGTGGTGCATATGTTGCTGCATAGGTTTATGTTTCCCTCTGATGTTCTTACGTATATTGTAGCTTTTGGGTATACTTCGCTGTTTATCAGGTGATTCTGTTTGTAGGCAAGGTGCTATGTTATATATGGTTTCTGTTTCATATTCATATGTTTCCGTTTTTGTGTATATTGTAATTTGTATTTGTACTGTTATGTATATTAGTTTTGTTGTCTGTGTTCAGTGCTGTCTTTTCTCTAGTCGCCTAGAGTTATTCCAGTTCTTGGTTGAATGTTGGTGCTGTTTGTTGAGGCTCTGGTTGCTTTTGTTACTGACTTTTTTTTTTCTTTTACTTTCTTTTTGAGTGTTTGCTGTTATTGTATCTGTTCTTTCCTGTTATATTTCATTAATCGAACTTTTATTGAAGAAACTATGTTCCTTCTTTCTCTGTCTTTTTTTGTGCTCATGTATGTGTGTATGTATGAATGTATGTATGTATGTATGTATGTATGTATGTATGTATGTATGTTGTCTGTTGTTTCTTTCCAGTCTTGTTATTGTTGTTATTAATTAATCTACTTTTTATCTCGATGGGATATGGGTACCCGATGCTGAAGGAAATGTTACTGCTGTTGCTGCGGTTTCGTCGGCTGAACGCTGAAGCTATTCCTATTGTTGTTGCTGGGCGCATGCTATAATTTATCCTCTGTGTATGTGAACGTTATAGCTACCTGTATTGTTATTTTGCCAGAGACGACAAAGGCGCCGATAAGAACGATGGAACCAAAGATGGCGAGAAGAAGGAAGACGCTCTTCCGCCGGTCCCTGTGTTCCAGATGGTAAGGCACACGACTCAATAGGTTGTTGCATTATCATCATATGGATGTTTGTGTGTGCGTGTGTGTGTGCGCGCGCGCGCGTATGGGATGTGTGTGTAAATGCACAAATAAATACACATACACAAATACATAAATAGAATGCATAAATAAATATATGTATGTATGTATATGTATGTATGTGTGTGTGTGTGTACATATATAAGATATATATATTATATATATATATATATATATATATATATATATATATATATATATATATATATATATATATATATAGCCCGTATGGTCCCCGGGAATATAAGAATAGGGCCAGCGTACCCTCTGCGTGTCGGAGAAGGTGACTTAAAGAGATTGGATGGCAGGAAGGGCATCCGGTCTGTAAAAAACTTATAAAAAAATATGAGATGCGGATAACTCAGGATAGAGATCATGGAAGCTGTGGAGGAGGAAGATACGCACCGGCGACCCCATTAACTGGGACTAAAACCAGAAGAAGAAGAAGATATATATATATATGTATATGACTGCCGACCCGCATGGTCCCGAGTTCAATTTCCTCGCCGCAGCAGTCGTAAAAATGCCTGCTCGAGCCCCTTTTCTCTCTCGCCTCCGTGGCACAAGTGTTAGCGCGCCGAACCGCGTATATTCATGTTGACAAATATTATCAAAATGTATGAATAAGAGTGAATATCTTTACAAGAGATGAAATTAACCGGTTTCGAATATATCTTACGCCATAATTAATTCTGACGAAGATACATTCTCATTCATAGCATTTCTACATATATCTGTGTGTATATATATATATATATATATATATATATATATATATATATATATATATATATACACATACATATATATATATATATATATATATATATATATATATATATATATATATACATATATATATATATATATATATATATATATATATATATATATATATGTACATACATACATAAATATATATATATATATATATATATATATATATATATATATATATATATACATATATATATATACATTTTTATATATATACATACATACATAAGTATATATATACATATATATATATATATATATATATATATATATATATATATATATATATATATATATATATGAATGCGGAAAACACTCTACCGTGTTGATACTCAGACCTGAGGATGGAATCCAGGTGGATTCCGAAACTGTCGTCTCACTTCCATTTTCAATAAATCTAGTTTTTACATTGTGGGTTTTTCTACCATATATACATATATATATATGTGTATATATATATATATATATATATATATATATATATATATATATATATATATATATATTATGTATATATGTATATGCACAAATCTATCTATCTATATGCATATACATATATATATATATATATATATATATATATATATATATATATATATATATATATATATATATATATATATATATATATATATATATATATATATATATATATATATATATATATATATATATATATATATATATATATATATATATATATATATATGCATATATGTATTGTATATGTATGATATATATACATGAACATATATATTTATATACATATCTATATCTATCTATATGTGTGTGTATGTGTTCTATAACATATGTATCCATACATATATATACATATACATATAAATATACATATATATGTATATGTATACGCACATGTGTATGTGTATGCATGTATATATGTATGTATATGTATTCATATACGTATGAATGTACATATGGACTCACTGGACTCCGGCCCTCGTGGTCCCGGGTTCAATTCCCCGTCGCGGCGGTCGTAAAAATGCCTGCGCTGTGACTGCTGGTTCGAGCCAGAGAAAACGACATAACGCCTTGAGAATCAGCGCAGGTGTCCGTATGGGAAGTCACCGGGCCGTGCACAGTGTTACGTTAGGAAAAGGCATCCAATCAGGCAAGGGTGACACTGCCATATAACCTCTCAATACTGACTGGCTGTTAAAAAAAAAAAAAAAAAATATGTACATGTGTATGTGTATGCATGTATATATGTATATATACATATACATATATTTTTGTTGTTGTTGGCTCCGTCGATCTCGTGAGATCATGGCTAACTGCGCTGAGGGTCTAAATCGAGGAGCTGCAACGTCGGCTGTGGCTGTACAGGCCGATACGAGAACCGCATGGTCTGCATCTGCTGCAAGTGAAGGCCGGCTCCCGTGTATGTGGTGGGGCCGATTACAGCCAATGTTTCTTTCGGAGATGCCTCTCTCCCCATCGGTCGTCTCTCATATCCTCTGCCGCCTTGCTGGCACAGCGCCTGGCGATCTTCTGTGTGTCACTTCGAGCAGCACGGAGTGCTACGAGCGTCTGTGTGGAAGGGTCTTTCTTGTGAGCAATTAGGGCTGCTCGCTTAGCAGCGATGGCGGGCTCCAGTTTAGCGACTCCTGCCTCAAACCAGTCAGTGCTCTTCCTCTCTCTTCTACCGAAGGTGTATATATATATATATATATATATATATATATATATATATATATATATATATATATATATATATATATATATATACATATATATGCATACACATATATACGTATACATACACATATACACATATATATATATTTCTTGGTTTTATCACATTTTTAGAATCACTGGTGAATTTATAGCCACAGACATACACTGAATAATTGAAAATGTCAACTAGAGCATTTATATCCCATTAAAAAAATGGAAATTGCTCTAATATCTAGTCTCCTCTGCAGTAGTGCAGCCCCAGACCATGACACCACCATGCTTAACTGTGGGATTCAGGCATTCAGGAAAGAATTCCTCTCCTTTTTCTTCAAAGCCTTTTCCTCGCTAATATGATACTCATAGTATCTTATATCCAATTGAAAAAAACAACAACTAGAAACAACGAAGCTGAAAGCTCCCAAATACTAAGCAATAACTTTCTTAACAAATTTCTGGTTATATTTAATTTATTTTTTTGTTTCCATTTGGCTATACCAAGTAACCAAAATTTCGAATTGCGATGAAAGTGCGCGAGTGGCCGGTTAATCTTGGCTAGTAGTGTATCTATCTATCTATCTTTCTATGTATGTATCTATCTATCTATTTTCTCGCCGTGAGAGCACAGGCAGATTTGCAACCGCCGGAATTGAACTCGGGATCACGAGTCCAGTGCTCTAACTACTGGACTATCGCGGTAGTGTGTGTGTGTGTGTGTGTGTGAGAGTGTGAGTGTGTGTGTGTGTGTGTGTGTGTGTGTGTGTGTGTGTGTGTGTGTGTGTGTGTGTGTGTGTGTGTGTGTGTGTGCGTGCGTGCGTGCGTGCGTATATACAAATGTATATCTATATATATATATATATATATATATATATATATATTTATATATATATATATATTTGTATGTGTATGTGTATGTAGGGTCCAGGATGATGGGGCCCTACAAGAATATGGTAGGTGGCGAGCTTAGGGTGTAAGGTAAGCAACCAAGATGTCTTGACTCCTTTAATGTATAGCAATGATGGAGTGCGGGTGCGTCGAGAAGCGAGATGTTGCTCCTTGGCTCCCCGCAGGGAGTCTGCCTGTCATTTCTTACACTGGTCTAAAGATTGTACTTGCTTACCATGTGACAATCAGTGGTGATGAAAAGTAGTGTCACAACAATGCACAGCTTTTGTGGAAGGGGATAGACAACACAACATTGGAATGTCTTGTGTGGCATGTCCAGTTAAAGCAATGGACATGCTTACATGCATGTATATGTGTGTGTGGGAACATATGCATGTGGCAATACATAAGATTATACAAGTTATGTAGAACTTAACAATAGATAAATAAAATAACATTGGCATACATATTTCAGTAACATTACATATATAAAGCTGGGTTACAGTGTCTGTGTGTGTGTGAGTGTGGGTAAGTTTGTTTGTAATGTATCATTGATATCTAATAGTATGTTAATTTTAAGCTTAATCATTGTTGCTTTGTATCCTTCTTTAGTTCCGATACGCGAGCGTGAAAGAGAAGTGGCTGATGTTCGCGGGTGTGCTCGCGTCCCTCATTGCGGGCGTGTGCATGCCGGCCATGTTCATTCTCTTTGGCGATGTCACGGACGCTTTCGTCTACAATGACCTGCTTACCAGCATTAATAATGAGACCAATTTTTCGGCAATCGTTGCTACGAATCCCGGCATGGAGAATGCAACGATCGATGAGTAAGTATCTTGTGCTTTGTTTAAATTATTCTAATCTGTTAAGTATTTAAAGTTCACATTTGTTGATGGTCTCGTTGGTGAAATCAAGTATGTACTTTAGGGAAATTATGATACTAAATACCTGTGCCTACTTTCCCTTTTCGATCTATCACAATCAATTTATGCTGGATATATGCTGCCCATGAATTATACTGATGTATTTAAAATGAAAATATTCTTCTGTTAGATATTCACCACTGAATATTCTCTCTCTCACTCTCTCTCTCTCTCTCTCTCTCTCTCTCTCTCTCTCTCTCTCTCTCTCCTCTCTCTCTCTCTCTCTCTCTCTCTCTCTCTCTCTCTCTCTCTCTCTCTCTCTCTCTCATATATATATATATATATATATATATATATATATATATATATATATATATATATATATATATATATATGTATGTATGTATGTATGTATGTATGTATGTATGTATAGATATATATCCCTCCCTCCCCTATCATTCCCTTGCTGTATGCATACATATGTTTGCATTTGCTTTCAGAATCATCGAGTACATTACAGCCTCGTATGGCATCGAAGACTTCTTCCAAGAGATCGTGAAGTTCGGGGCCGGCACTTTCATCATCGGAGCCGTTCAGATGGTTATGGGATACATCTTCGTCGCGTCCATGAACTACGCGGCAGAAGGACAGGTGAGGTTCTGCACACCTGGTCCTGATTGGCAGATCTTCTGTCCGATTCACTGATTGACTTTATTTACTTTGGTTATCACATTATTTCAGGTTGATACTTTTTTATTTGAATATCATATATGTTTACTTTTATTAATTGGATTTCTTTAATTTGAATAATCTATTTTGTATCTGATCGTAATTAGATTTTTTATTTGTATTATTTCTTTAGTTTTTGCTCTTTTTTCTTTTCCCTTGTACATTTATCTATTTAGAGTTTGTTTCCCTATACTGATATATTCTGTTCGCTTAATATTCCTCTCTACGTGGACTCATTTCCACTTTGCTTTGAATGTCTCTTGCAGGTATATAGGTTACGAGGTATGTTTCTGAAGAGCATCTTAAGGCAGGAAATTGGCTGGTTTGATACTCATCAGACTAATGATTTTGCCAGCAGAGTTACTGAGTAAGTAAGAGACATTAGCTAATATATTCATCATTAACTGTGGAGATTTGCTCCTTCTGTATCTATATTTAAAAAAGGTAATAAGATGTCGAAAATAATTAGTAATCAAAAAGTTGTACGTACTTTTATATTTTTACTTAAATGGTCAAGGCTTACCTATCCAAATCCCTGTCTTCTTTCCAGGGACCTGAATAAATTACAAGAAGGAATTGGTGAGAAAGTGGGCATGTTCATATTCTTCATGACGATATTCATAGCCTCTCTCATTAATGCCTTCGTCCACGGATGGGAACTCACGCTAGTCATTCTGTCTGTGTTCCCACTCTTAGGAATCTCTACTGGAATTATTGCAAAGGTAAGTCTGATAAATAACATGCCATAAGTTTTGTAATCAAACACATTCAACTTATATATATTTCGGACGAAGTTATATTCGAAACCGGTTAAACACAAACCTTGAATTGTGAAGACATTCATTCTCATTGATACATTTTATACCTATGTCGGTTGACATTTTCAACGTATTTGGTAAATGTCTCCGTTATTTAATTCAAGAGATATACCTTTTTATGTTTGCTTATTAATTTACATTTTCTTTCGCTTCAGGTTCAGTCTAGCTTAACATCAGTAGAAATGAAAGAGTATGCGAAGGCAGGCAGCATCGCAGAGGAAGTGATATCAGCCATCAGGACAGTGATTGCCTTTGGGGGAGAAGCTAAAGAAGTAGAACGGTAAGCGTCTTTCAGCAAGATTCCTTTTTTATGTAATTCCACAATGTATTAGTATATATCTGATATTTGAAATCAAAGTTTTTTTTTCTATCTAAGTGGTAAAAGAAAGTGCTCTAACATGGTTGCATTTTAAATCTTTTCACAGTATATTAGTATGGATCTTATCTGCATTTTAGAATATATGTTTTCATGGTATGTATGCATGTGTGTATACATGCATAAATATATATATATATATATATATATATATATATATATATATATATATATATATATATATATATATGTATATATATATATATATATACATATATATATATATATATATATATATATATATATATATATATATATATATATATATATATATATACATATGTTACACACACACACACACAAGCAGGCACGCACGCACGCCCACCTGCACACACGCACGCACGCACGCACGCACGCACGCACGCTCGCGCGCACACACATACACACACACACACACACACACACACACACACACACACACACACACACACACACACACACACACACACACACACACACACACACACATATATATATATATGTATATAGATAGATAGATAGATAGAGAGAGAGAGAGAGAGAAAGAGAGAGAGAGAGAGAGAGAGAGAGAGAGAGAGAGAGAGAGAGAGAGAGAGAGAGAGAGAGAGAGAGAGAGAGAGAGAGAGAGAGAGAGAGAGAGAGAAAGAGAGAGAGAGAGAGAAAGAGAGAGAGAGAGGAGAAAGAGGAAGAGAGAGAGACACTGATTTCTGAAGTGAATGTATGTATAGATAAATAGATAGATAGAGGGATAGATATAGATATGAATATATAAATGGCCTTTTACATTCGTTGCGTGTACCACAGGTACGACGCCAACCTTGTGCACGCCAAGCGAGCGGGCGTGAAGCGAGGCCTCGTGACGGGCGTGGGCATGGGCTTAATGTGGTTCCTGATCTACGCGGCGTACGCCCTGGCCTTTTACTACGGCACCGGCCTCATTCTAGAGTCAAGGACGGATCCGGATAGCAATTTCAACCCCTCCAATCTTATCATTGTGAGCTAAGAAGGTTTTGGTCTTTGGTCTGGCGTTATATTCTTTATGTTCCAATTAAGTATTTAACATTCGCAAATCCAGTCATCTAAACTTGGCATTGATATATATTAAAATGCTTAAACATAATATATAAACCAAAAGATGCAGTCACAAAAGAAAAATACCTTCTTTACTAATGTGGTTAAATGGAAGTTCGTACGCTTATACAAACTATGTTTGTATAATTGTAGGAAGAAATTAGTATATCAGAATCATTTTATATACTTTCTCATATATACTGCAAAGACGCGCAAATACACTTATTTTGTATTTTAAATCGTTAGATATCAGTAGAGTTTAATGATGAAACATTCAATAATATATTAATATTGTTACTGCAAGACCTTTAGTCTTCTTTAATGCATGTCGTGTGTTTCCTGGCGAAGATAAGACTCCCGTGCCTCATATAATTCTGGGCGTAACCAAATCTAAATGCCTACACGAATATTTCAATTTTCGAGTCAGATTTAAGGATTATAACTGAACAACTCTGATGTTTCGTTTACAGAAATAAACCACTGTCCATTTTCTAGGTATTCTTCAGTGTGCTAATGGGTGCTATGAATGTTGGCCAAGCAGCTCCATATATTGAGGCCTTCAGTGTAGCCAGAGGAGCGGCTGCAACGATCTTTGATATCATTGAAAGAAAGTCGGCCATCGACCCTACCGGCTCTGACGGAGAAAAGCCTCCTTCTGTGAAGGGGATGATTGGTAACTTGTATTCCGGCTCGTCTGCGATCGACATGGCAGATTCTGAGAGATATTCGCCCCCGTGTTACATATTGATGTGTATGAATGTATTTGATTGTCCCCTTTTCGTTTTTCTGTACTTTTCATCGCATCTTCCTTTTTCAGAGTTCAAAGATGTCCGCTTCAGCTACCCATCAAGACCGGACGTAAGAGTGTTGCAGGGCGTGTCTCTGAGCATAGAACCGGGGCAGACCGTGGCCCTGGTGGGTTCCTCCGGCTGCGGGAAATCGACCTGTATCCAGCTCATACAACGGTTCTATGACCCACTGGATGGTCAAGTAAGTTAAAGAAAGAGTAGAGTTTTGCATAAGTGAACGAATTTTATATAGTTTTGTGTGTGTGCGGGTTGCGTGTGTATGGGTAACTGTATAGAACAATGAAAGTTGTGCATACATATACGTGCATTTTCCTTTAAATAAAAGATCCCACCTAAATACACGGAACTTCATGCACTCAGGTGTTCCTAGATGGCCGTGAAATAAAGAGTCTTAACATCGGTTGGTTGCGAGACCAGATTGGGGTTGTGGGCCAAGAGCCAGTCCTCTTTGCGACCAGCGTTGCCGAGAACATAAGGTACGGCCGCGAAGGGGTTTCCATGGAGGACATTCAGGCGGCGGCCAAAGAGGCCAATGCTCATGACTTCATCATGAAATTGCCGAAGGTGAGAGGATATGACTTGCATTCTGTGACTAATGTTCTTTTACGTAAATCTTGTCTGATTGAAAAAAAATCTGAAAAGATTCAATTTGTATAATTCTGAATTTATTGTAGTTAAAGCCATGTAAGAGTTTGATTCAAAGTAAGTTCATGATATATCCACCTTTTCTACAGCAATACGAAACAAACGTCGGCGAGCGAGGAAGCCAGATGTCGGGGGGACAGAAGCAGCGGATTGCCATTGCACGAGCACTGATCAGGCAGCCCAAGATTCTGCTCCTGGACGAGGCCACGTCGGCGCTGGACACGCAGAGCGAGGCGGTTGTGCAGCAGGCGCTCGATAAGGTTGGTGAGGCCTCGCACGCGCGCACCCACGCGTATATATGTGTTTTGCTAGCAAGTATGTTGGTAAATGAAATCTTACATCTTAATTTTTCTTGTTGATAGGCGCCTGTATGGCTATGACATGGAACTTGATGTAGTAGAGATAACATCTGGGGTGGTTTAAGCACGATATGTAAATTGTCCATTATTTTGTTTTTATAATAGTTGGAAACATGTTGCTATGCTCCTATCAATGGTATATTTTTTCCTTTTAATAACATACATAAAGTAGTAAAACAAAACAAAAAAAGTCGCGCAACACTTACTATCAGCTGACTTTTCCAACAGGTAAGGAAAGGGCGCACAACAGTGGTCGTGGCGCACCGCCTATCCACCATCAAACCCGCAAATAAGATCGTTGTGTTCAACAAAGGAAAGATTGAGGAAGTGGGAACTCACAATGAACTAATGAAGCTGCAAGGGCTTTATTACAATCTTGTCACAGCTCAAGTCAGCCCACAAGAGGAAAAGGGTAACTTCTGTTTCACTTTTACCTTTTGTTATTTTTTATTCATGGCATCGCTCTATTTTCGTTGATGTGGCGTATCTTGAAAATGCTACATTATTCCTTTTGGTCAGTAAATAAACATAAGTTAGGCTTCCTCTTTTCTTTAGGCATTTTAACATCAAGATGTTCTCATTTTCGTTATCTAACATTAGAATCGCAATGTTGATGATGGTGTCAATGATTATAACAATGATTATTATCGATATCAACATTACTGTTATCATTTTATCATTATCTATTTTATTCCTTTATCTTTTCACTAACACAATTAATAACATACTGCGTCCCTCTCCCACAACAGAGAACAAGGGCAGCCCCCCAAAAGGGAAGGCTGAGGGCGATGCGGCCCTCCTTGAAGGCGAAGCCCTCTCGGAGATCAGCCAGGACATTATTGAAGACCTGGCCAGCATGTCCCCGGTGGCCCTCACGCGCAGCCCGTCCATCCGCCAGTCCCTCAAGAGGCGCCGCGCTTCGTCAGTCAAGCCAGTTAAAAGCCCTCTGCGGAATATACAGGTGAGTTTTATAGTTATGTAGGTTCTAAATTTATTCTGATTTTTTTTCGTGAAATGGACTAGCTAATACGTTTTTCTTATACTTTAGAGCTGTGGTTCTTACCCTTTTTAGTTATGGACCCAAGGTAGTCCCTTGCACGTACCCCTTTAAGAATGTGATGAAAGCTATGGACCCTCTTCCCAGGAAATATTCACATAAACACAACTTTGCATGCAATGTGTATAGTGTATTTTATTTATTGAGAATTGATTGTCTCATACATATATGAGATACACAAAGTATCATTAAACTTTAAAGTAAACAATCATATTAATATAAATGTTATTTTTATCTGATATTCACGGACCACAGAAACCCAGGTTAAGATCCCCAGTCTTAAAAAGTTATGTCGTAAGTCTGAATATGAAAATTATGTTAGAGGATTGAAATGAAAGATCCATGTTGATTACAACGTATGTGGACATTAGGTCACAATCTAATCTAAGTTGAATGCAAATTATAAAATAAAAATAATTTCAGATTGCAAATAATTTAATTTAGATTTTAGAGGAAAAGGTTGATTTTATCAATTTTTAGGAAACTTCCTCTGGTAGATATCAACGTTATAGGTAAAAAGACCCTTGTCTTTTTCGTTCAAATTGCAGGAAAAGGAAGAGGAGGAGACGCTGCCTGAAGTGGCCACTTGGGAAATCATAAAGAAGAACGCGTCTGAATGGCCATACATTGTAGGAGGCGTGCTGGGCTCCGCGATCCAAGGGACGACCATTCCTCTCTATGCTATATTATTTGGCGAGATTCTTGGGGTGAGTGACACATCCAGAGAAACTGGGTAATGGAAAGATAAAATGGTGATTTAACTGGATTATATTTATAAAAAAAAAAAAAAAAAAAAAAGCTGAAAAGATGAAATGGATTAGAACAATTTATTTGTATAATTATGATTTATAGATGAAATAGAATTAGTCAGACTGAATGGATAAGAAATTAATTAAAATAAAATGCATATTTCTGGAATGAGTGACAGTTTGGATGAATAGAACGTAAATCTTGGGATGAGTGGCAGTTAAGGTGGAATGAAGGTAAGTGACGAAGTTATATAGAATGAAAGGAACCTTACAAAGTTAGGAAGACATGGAGTGAACAGACACAATTAAAAGGAAGACAGAATACATAGAATATAGATAAATTGGATTAAATGGAAATCTTGATGCACGAAGAGCCATTTTTTAGATATACATTTTATAGTATTTTAGCCCAGTTAACCGTACCTAATGATATATTTTTAAGCTATAATAATGGAGCGTTTTCATTCAGTATTATCATGACTAAAGCAAGGAAAGAAGACACTATCTTTTTCTGCTCAAAGTACGTAGCCCTTGAAATGGCACTGACAACTGTCAGAAATAGCCCTTTTTGACTTTGGT